GGGCAAAAAACTTCAGATCGAAAACCTCCGACCAATATCCCTCACTTCCTGCCTTGGTAAACTCTTCGAGCGCGTCATCACTAATCGCGTGCAAGATTACCTCGAAGACAATGACCTTTTCCCGCACTCAATGTACGGGTTCCGGGCACATCTTTCAACGCAAGATGTACTGCTACAATTAAAAGAAGTCATTGATAACGCCCCCCAGCAAGGAGAAAAACATTATCTTGACTTTCAGACATTAAGGGCGCATTTGATAACGTTAGCCACCAGGCCATACTTGAGGGCCTCGAGGCCCTTCATTGTAGGGCAGCGCGTCTACAGTTATGTTCACGCCTTCTTGTCGGACCGCACTGCCACAGTCGGTCTCGGCTCCATCCGATCAGATGTTATCAAGGTTCCGAACAAGGGCACCCCGCAGGGCTCAGTGATTTCCCCGCTACTCTTTAATGTAGCTATGGTTGGCCTGGCACATGAACTCCACCGCATCGATGGCATCCATCACGCAATGTATGCGGACGATATCACCGTCTGGGCCACGCGGGGGTCCCTTGGAGAAAAAGAATATAACCTGCAGCAGGCAGCCACATGCGTCGAACAATACGCGCAGGCACGAGGCCTGGCCTGTGCAACAGAAAAATCTGAGCTTCTACGAATTTATCGACGCAAGCTCCCACCATCGACGCAGAACAACCAAGGCTCCCGCCTCCAGGTTGTCCTTGCTGGCAAACAAATCCCAGAGAAATCCACCATTCGAATATTAGGCATGTGGGTACAGTCGAACCACCATGTGAATCACACACTTTCCCTTCTCCGCACCACTACACTGCAAGTGGCCCGAATGATATCTCGGGTAGCCACTCGTCGCCATGGCATGCGCGAGGAGGACACCCTGAAACTCATACGTAGCCTCGTGGTCAGTAGGGTGACATACAGTTTGCCCTACCAACGCCTCATCAAGAGCGAACAGGGCCAAGTAGACGCAATGCTCCGCAAGGCCTACAAAGCGGCACTCAAGCTACCACCGGGTACTCCTTCTAGCAAGCTCCTCACATTGGGCCTACACAACACCTTTGAAGAACTTTGTGAAGCGCAACTCGCCACACAACTGCAACGGCTCAAGCAAACACCTACAGGCTGTGACCTGCTCCTACGCCTCGGCTACATCAGCCAGTTTCACGACGCAGCTCGTCGCAAGCCCATTCCGGACAAACTTCGTGCCACTTATAAGGTCGCTCCCATCCCCCGCAATATGGATCCCCGACTACATCAGGGCCGGAGGGAAGCCAGAGTGGAAGCCCTCGAGCGAACTTATGCACACAAAAACACTACGTACTATGTTGACGCCGCCAACTACGACCATGCAAACAATAAGGCTGTAGCCACAGTCGTGGACCACACACTCACAGAACGTACCAGCGCTTCCGTGCGGTGCCGCAACATCACCGATGCTGAAGAAACTGCCATCGCGCTCGCTCTCGCCCTCGGCTACAGACAACGAAGGTCGCTGACAGTTCTCACGGACTCTCAAGCAGCTTGCCGCAACTACCTACAGGGGCGCATCAGCCAACCCGCTCTCAGCGTCATCATGAGCGTTACAGACACTGGCGAGCATTCCATTACACATCCACTCAGAATTTGGCATCGGATTATATGGACTCCGGGCCACATGGGACTGGAGGGGAATCAGGCAGCGGATAGGGTAGCTCGAGGGTATGCGAGCCGAGCACCTTCCAACTCCGCCCCTGAGGAACTCGTTCCGGTCCCTTGCGACTATTCGGCCATCCTAAACCATTACAGAGGACTTAGGAAAGCTTATTCGCTACCACACCGAACACTAAATAAAGAGGAATCGGTCAGCTGGAGGCAAATTCAAACCGGCACGTTTCCAAATTTGCACATCCTGAGTAAAATGCACCCCTCGGCATACTCTCCTCTCTGCCCATGGTGTTCAGCTAAAGCCACTCTGTACCACGTCACGTGGGAGTGTCAGGCCATTACAGCCTTACAACCAGTACAAAATCCAACAGCGGAGCGATGGGAGGAGCTGCTGGCCAGCGAGAACCTGGAAGATCAATTGAGTCTGATCAACCGGGCCCGCAGAGCGGCTGCTGCAAGCGGAGCCCTGGACTAAGGGCCCCCCCACCGCAAGCCAAGCATGTCCGACTACTCGGAGCTTCTCCGCAGAAAATTTCATGTAATTAAATAAATAAATGTGTTTCCACCACCTATGTTTCCACCACGGCGCAACACGTAACCATAGCAACGCCGCCATTGTGCCTAGTGAATATGGCCGCCATGATGTCATTTCCGCCACACTTTTCACGCCCCGCGCCGGCTGGGCATGCCCCCTCCTACCTTTCCTTCCTCCGTGATCAGCATGTTCCCCGGTTTTGCAACTTAGATGATTGAAGAACATTGAGCGTGTAAACGAAACGTTGCCATTAAGCTAATTCTGAACAAAGGTGCGAACTGGTACTACTAAAGGGAATGTATGTTTCCCGGCTTGCTACCTACCGGCAGCACTTGGCAACGCGGTCTTCACAACGTCTAACTTGTCAATTAGACAAAATAATGCGTTCACTCGGCATCCACCATTTTAGTACGCATCGCCGCCAAGAATGTTAAAAAAAACGTTGGAGTGGAAGCTTTTGCAGTACTTTGCCATCAGTAGTAAAGCCAGCTGTTGCCCTCCAAAGATCTCAGAAGCATACTATTGTCTGGTGGTGCCCACTTAGACCTATCAAGTGACTTATTTGTTAGTCTAAAGGTTACGTTAATTATAAATGAAAAGTTTGTTTCCGGAGACTAGCATCGGCAACTAATCTCCAATAAACTTTGCCTTAAATTTCAGGCTTTCTAAAGAAAACTTTTGAGCGCTGTCTGACCCGAAAAGAAAAGGTTGCCACGGTAAACTCGTTGGGCGTGCGAGGAAAACGCTCCAACAGCTCATTTTGCCTCTAGTAAGATGGCTGCCACAGCCGCCATCTTACGGTTGGCACGGCTTCACAAATGGGCAAGAATCTCCACTCCAGCAATTTTCTTAAACTTCTTTTCACTGCCACTCACACCTTGCTTGTACACTCTCCAACTTGCACTACCTTACCACTCATTTTTGCCACCTCTCTCGTAAGCCTTTCATGCGAAGATTTCACGGGCAGTCTTGTCTTTCCGTGCCCGATAATTCGCGCAGCTCTTTTATAATGCCGAGTGCCCCGTCAACTCGCTTATCAACTGCTTCGTATCCTTACAACTATACAGTCTACTTACCAAGGTGGTTATACTGTATTTACAACCCGATCACCTTTACAAAATTTTTGGTTTAAACAAGTTGATTGCGTTTGACCCGTTATCAGGCTGGCTAGCAATTTTCTAATTCCGCTAGAAAAAGTCACAGCGAGGCCAGCATAGATGTATCACCCCAAAGTAAGTTTTTTTTTTTTTGATACATTAGATTACTATTGAGTTTTCAATGCTCAACCTATAAAGGGTCACCTATTGCTCACAATGCATGAGGCTTCGAGTTGGCATTAGTAGACCACATAAGTAGAATTTTTGTTGTTGTAGAGCTAGCGATACCAGCAGATCACATGCAACATGATCATTGAGAAGGCAGCAGCAAAAAGCAGTGAAATACCCCGTCAGAGGCAACACATTCAGTGACAGGCTGATCTTCGCATGCACACAAAAAAAGCCAAACTTTCACATCTTGCACCAGACTTAGATGAACCACGTTGACTTGGAACATTTAGTTTGGCAAGTCTTAGAGAGCAACAAGACTGTCACATTTTAGCAGCTAGGTTCTAGCCGAGCAGAAGTGAATACAGTTGAACCCAGATACACCAAACCTGAAGGGGACTGCAAAAGTTATGAATGCGATTCAATATATATATATATAAAAATGTATACGAAAAATCATATACAAAGTATTTGACAAATTTTCATTTCACAGAGTATTGCGTAACATGTGGGCTAGATATATCCAGCTTCAACTGTACGTTCGTGGCTGAACAAGGCAGAGCGAGATATTGTGTAAGAACTTGTGCAGAGATTGTGAAGTTATTTACCACAGGATAAATTGAAAACAATCGTGGGAACCCTTCATCTCAATATGAACATAAAATAGACTGATAACTATTACCACAACTCATGGCTAGCTAGTCCTATCCATAAAATGGAGTTACAGTGTACAAGAAAGATTGCTGCAATTTATATGGCAAATTACTGTGGGTCTGACACTTTCTTTTTCAAGGGCAGATTAGGAAGCCAGAGTAAATGCCAGAAACCAGTTGTGGAAGTTAAAGGAATGAAATGGCCGCATTCGGAGACTGTGAATTCGCCTCACCAGAGCTAAAGTTTCGCGTCGTGCATAATGTGCTTGCATACAAAGCTGCGGATTTGCGCTTATTCACAACATGCTGTAATCTTCGAGGAAGTCCATGCTTACAATATATGCTCACGAATTTTGCATGCTCGCATACTAAAGAATCATGAGGCATGTGCAGTGAAGACTTTGGAAAAATTCTGTCTACCTGGGACAATTCATTGTACTTTATTGTACAGTACTCATGAATTCGACAAAACATTAAAATTTTCACCATAAGGATTACTACGCACAATTGTTTGAGGTGACTATGTCATGTCTCAACGAATATGATCTCTAAAGATAATGTTGGCTTTGATTTAACCAGAAGAGTCAAAATTATACTAATAAAACCTGGACTGAAGGTGGCACAAAAAAAATGTGTGGTACTCAGCCCTATTCAATCTGCGAGCACACCCATATCTAAGTGGGAGTCTTTTTTTGTATTACATCCTCAGTGGAACGGAGTGGCAAAGCCGAGAAACAATCGCCTCCTTCAGCTTTGCTGCGCAACACAGCCACCAAAAAACCAAGGTACTGTGGTGAATGCATCGTCCTTTGTAACACACTGTGTACGGGAGGCCCCCATATGGCTCTTTTTTCGGAGGTAGCACCGTAGGTTCTAGAAAAAGGCACATTCGTGATAAAAAAAAAGGCATGTTTATTTCGTAAAGTCCGACACTCAAACTAAAAAAAAAAGACAACAAAGACTCTTACTACATCCATGCAACCAACACATGCATCCACAGCACTAATGCACCCACAAGCGTAAGATAGCAACTTCTCTCTTAATATATATATAAAAAAATTAAGCCTTCCATGCCTGTCATGGCAGAAACACCCGCATTTTAAAAATGCAGAAAACCAGTTCCAGTTTGCTCAGTCAACAGTACGCCCGAGCGGGCCACTTGAACACAATGTCCTCTTCTGGAGGAAACAAAAAGGAAAAAAAAAGTCCACATCCAAGGCGTACTGTCCCCCTAGTTGGTAGGAAAAACGAGGCCCTCTGCTGCCGCAATGGCTTATTGCTCTACCTGCAACCCAACGACGGAGTGAACCAATCGTCGTGGCGTTTTTAAGACCCGATGCCGTGCATTCGGCCTGTAAGCGTGCTTGGGCACGACAATGACTTTGGTTCGGGCGTTTCGGGGAACCACCGACTTCTCTGTGAAAGCAGAGGGGGTGAAGGAGGGGGCGGGAAAGAGACAGCTGCACAGTATGGGCGCTTGTTCCGGGAAGCTTTGTTCCGACGCTAGCGACAAATGTGAGCCCTCGATTCGTTGAGTTTCAGTTGGGGCTTTGTCCATCTCCAAACAACCCTTTGACAAAACACTCCTGTAATCTTCCCAACGCCTTGACCACTAGAAATGTGTGAGAGAGAGAGAGAGAGAGAGAGAGAGAGAAACAAAAAACGTGGGGTTGTCAGAGCGCGGGAATATAGTGGGAAAACACAGGCTCGAATACGAGGAGTCACGACGGCTGGGTAACACACACGAACAGTCCAGATCAGGAAATAGGGACGGCAGATTTGCTGTACGTGACGGAAACGAGCCCATCAACGAAATGCGGAATCACGCTCGTCTGATGCTTCCTGCGACGTCGAGGTAGGAAGCGCCGGACGAGGACGGGCAATAGGGTCACCTTCAGGTTTCAACACAAAAAAAGAAAGATAAAGAAAAACTGGAAAAGGCAGCTTGGAGCACACATTTCCTGCACTGATATGGAGGGACAACAAAGCGCCATCCACCACCCGAGACACTTCTGCCAACTCTTCCCCTTTTTTAAAGCTCCTATCCCAAGAAGTCCAGAGAAACATATTGCGGCACACCACCACATCCCACATGTGATTTGTGACGACTAGAGAGCTGCCACGCACGAGACAAGCCACGCACGCTGGAGGAGGTCGTGGACGCGTAGCAAGCTGCGGAGCGCCAACTTGCTCCACAACATCGGCAGTTCCGGGGCAAGAAACGTCAGTTAGACGTCAATGGGGTGGCGGCGCCATAGAGGAAACCTACTACAGAGGGGAGGGAAAAAAAATCAAAAACAACAAAACACCCGAGCCTTGTCCTTGCCTAGTCCCAACTCTCGTCGGAATCGGGGTAGTCCATCAATTCCTCCTCGTCCAGGTCTTCCTCGTCTTCGAAGGAGTCGTACTCCTCGTCGTCGGCCGCTACGGCATTCGCGTGCTGGTGGTGGTGGTTCCGCTGCTGCGGACGATTGTTGGCGTTGCGCTGGGCGCGCAGCGCCATGCGAGCCACGTCTTCGGGCCCCCGCTCTTTCCGGTACTCGTAGACAAGCGGGAAAATCTGTTCGATGGCGCTCTGGACGTTGGCCACACTGGGTGCTGCAGAGGGCACAAGAGTTGCGGGGCTTACAATGAGCTATGCTCTCTTAACACACGGACACAGTTCTCGCTGTCAGGCAAACCAGACCCGTGAACATAATTAACCCTTTACTTCTGAGTATCGCGGCTTCGCGACATACTGAAAAACTCTGGGCAGACAAGTCACGAAATGCGTTCCACCTTTAATGCCGGTAGTCAAGCACTCACGGGGGATCTAGCTTTCAGTATGAAAAGTCTAGTGCCGCCTAGTGCCATCAGGCATTTTAAGATAGAACCAATTGTTTTGTAGCAGATGACAAAAAACGGGTTCAACAGCTCTTACTTCGCTCTTTCCCACCTGGGTGACAGAAGTTACATTTTAAATAACTTAGTTTATTTGTTGTGTATGTACCCAGGAGGTGGCACACAACATGTTACGTGGTTCTGCAGTACGTTTCTTGTTGCAAGGTCCTCGATTCTGTGGCATATGGAGAACTCGCGGCATAAGTGAAAGTATGCATTAGTGTTGCATTGTAGATAATTTGAACTGCAGAATCATTTGAAGGTTGCTATCCAAAGCTGGAATGTGAAAAAAAATTTTTAGTATGGGGTTTGGCAATTTCATAAGTCACACCACTTTCCCCATGGTAAGAAAAGAGTTAGAAGGTTAACCTGCTTTTACCTCCCAAGCAGAATCATACGCCACTAGTGACACCCTTCATAACACAACCGAATCATGCATCACTAGTGACACCCTTCTTAACACAACAGAATGCCAATACAATATATCCCCTTCAGGCACGAATCATGACGCACTGTCTGATAATGCGTCTAATCGACATAACACCGAGGCATTCAGTATTACATTCCAAGAAATAAAATTAAGGAATGTGGCGCTTCGTGCAAGTTTCAGTAATTAATGTTAATTATCATACATTAAACATTTATTATTCAGCAATTAGTCAGCTTCAATTCTTGCACAACAATAGCCAAATATTAGGTCCAAAATGCATGCAAAGTTTGTATTTGATTGTATTCATTTCGAGTGGAAAAAATAAAAATACTGTTGACGTTGGTTTTAAAACATAGTACAGTGAACGTTCCTAGAACATGGTAGTGTCTCCAGCAAAGCGATTCTCTGCTACAATATGCAGCAGAATGAAGTTAAATAACTGCTAGTTGTCCACTCAGAGGCCTGCACAAAGGTGTACACTGCGTTTAGAGCTATTTGAAATAACACACACTGCTTGCTATTTGCAGTCCTTAGCACTTTGCACGGTGTTTGGAAAGTTTAAAAAATGCACTATAAGGGTAAAAGAATCTTTGCTGCACAGCTGAATGCACGCTGAGTGTCATCACATGCCTGCTTTAATTTTTTTTGCTACACAAAATTCTTTTATTGCAATTCTTTTTGCAACCTTCACACTTGGCACACTCTAGGGGTGAACAACTAGTCACATCGTGAAATTACAGAGTCAAACTAAGAAAGAAAGTATGTCACGACATACATTGAAGTCCAAGTAATATGGTAAAAAAGAAACAGCAGTATAGGCCAAACGGTTACAAAGAAAATGGCTGCACAATCTTGGCAGGTAGGCAAAAAAAAAAAAAAAAACACTTTTGAGAAAATGGCTCGAGAAGTTTTTCCTTGCCTCCACTTATCTAAAATGCACTGGGATCATAGTTCTTGGTGTCCTTTGTGATACGGAGCCTCTTAGGCATTTGATGCTTGCTTTGGTGAGCTTTTGATGCTTTTTTTTCTGTATTTGATCCTTCTCTGCAGCTCTGTGAATGGAGTGCTTTCCAGGTTTCAGGCCAAGCGATGCACAAAACTCTCGATAAGAATGGAGAGTGCCAGAGTTGTACTTGCAGATGGCCTCATTCACAGCTGTTTCAGCGGCAATCAACGAAGCATTTTATTCATTAGGAAGAATAGACCAAATCACCGAATGGAGACTCTCAGCAGCATATAGGGTTTTCTAGCCTTGGCAACAACTTAGCAACTGAGGGTCACAAAGGCATAGGTAGACTGGCAGCAATGCAGCTGCAACATGTGCTGCCAGTTTGTACTTGTGCGGTGGTGGAGCGTCGCCTTCAGCTTTTGCAGCACGGTACTTGCACTAGCTCAGTGGTCCAGGCGGACACAATTCATGATGTGGCTCTTCATCTCTCGAAGAGATGTGATGAAACGTCGCCATTACGACTCTTTGCATGTCATCAACTTCAGTGTTGTCACGGATGGCCATCCCATAATAATTTGTTAGTCTTTTAATCAGTTCTTGAGTCAGGCCACCCTTTCCTCCAATGGGTTGATTTTTCTTACCGTATTTACTCGATTCTACCGCGCCCTCGATTGTAACGCGCACCCGATTTCCACCACGAAAAAAAAAAAAAGTAAGACATCGATTGCAACGCGCACCCATTTTTCTCGCTGGCCCGCACGATCACACCACTCAAAAAAACGACTCCTTTCGGGAGCGTCTTCCATTTAAATATGAGGTATGGGCGAAGCTTGTGCCCATCTGACGTGTAACAGAGCATTGCCGTCACTGTAACTTTACCGTGGACCAATGTCAGCACGTGAACTTGCTTCGCCCCCTTCTTCTCGACGGTTGTGGTGCCAGGCATGTCGAAGTAAAGAGGCGTCTGATCGGCATTCCCGATTTGCCCAAGCAGGTAGCCGTTGTTGCGCCGCAAGTTTAGGACGAACCTCAGAAAACTGTGAAGCTTTTCATCGTACTCCTCCGCAAAACTTTTCGCATATGCATGTTCCCCTTTGGAGGGAAAAGCCTTTCCTCTTCATAAAGTTAGTTAGCCAGCACCTGCTCGCTTTAAACTGGCTCCGCATCAGACCGTTTTCTAAGACTAATTGCATAGCCCGCACTTGGAGCAGTTCTGTCATCACGGGCCGCTGTGCCGCTCACTGCTTAATCACATGCTCGCCGAGCAGCTCTTTAATTTGCGGAAACCAACCCTGCTGTGGTCCACTGAAGCCTTTGCGTGAAGCTTTGCTGTCGACAATCTTCTGCTTTTGTTTCCGCCGGTCCCACAAGCACTTTTCGGGAACTCCGAACGACCGCGATGCGGCCCGATTTCCGTACGTTTCTGCACACGCGATGAATTTTCTTTTAAAAGCGGCATCGTGGTGCACTCGAGTTTTTGGAGTCGGCCCTTCCACGCCGTCAATGCTAATGCACTACTAGATGACGAACTCCTCAGCACACGTACGAAGTGCCGCACATGGGAAACACATAGGCAGAAATGGCCGACGCGCCATGCCGACGCACATAGGGGGCGGCCATTTTGGATTTGCCGATGGCAATAGATTAACCGCAATTTTTTTGTTCGTACTCGATTCTAACGCGCATGCGATTTATGAACTCGCTTAACCGGAAAAAAGGTGCGCGTTATATTCGAGTAATTACGGTACTTCTTGCTACAAGTGTTCACAGAGCTGAACCCATCCTCTTTTTTACATGATTTATGCAATCTCCTTTTGCCAATGGAATGAAGCCGTATGTTCTTTCTTCAGAAAAAGCCAAGAAAGTATGACTGTCGCCATCACAAACAATGGATGTGTATCGGAGGTCGTTCTTCTCCAGCGACCTTCCGAACAAAATTAGTGCAGCCTCGACCTCCATTCGGCCATCGCCAGACGAGGCCTGTGTTTTGCCGTTTTCACACTGCCACCGCTCTTTCGAAGACTGGTCGGCCATCTACTTTATTTTTGATCGCTGGTACTGTCGTTGGCCACCGACTGTATTCGATCGTCTGTGTCTAGTGCACGCACATACGCTACCCCACCGACTGATAATTTGCGATTCGTGTCGTGTTTAGAACTTGTTCTCGCTTACTTCGCACTCGGCTCAGCATGCCCTCTACACGGGTTCAGAAGCGCGAAAACGGCTGTTAATTTGCGCGAAACGAATTGCGAAATATCGAAGGTGGTGAGGCCATGCAAACCAGCCGGTGCAACGAACGCCGCGGAACCGTACACGGGTTAAGGCATTGTGAATGAAGTACACGGCAAGAGCGATTTGGAGGACCTAGATTGTGAGAACGACGAAACTTTGGAGCCAGTGCATCATGCAGCTTATGCCACGGACCTCGGCGAACGAGCACGCTGCCGTTTGAAATACACTCGAGACCGCCCTTATCGCTTCTGCTCTTCGAAACACGAGCATCATGGACTTTTTTGGGCAGAAAAGTTTGTGTTTCCACTCGCAACTTTTTTAAAAACTGTGTTTCATTTACTACGAACTTCCGGATACAGCGAACGGATGTCGTGTCAGTCTCGGGTTCGTGATAAGCGGGCTCGACTGAAATCACAATCGTCAGGAAAAACTATGAGCCTAGTGAAGTATACGAGTAAGTATATTTATTGCGTTTATTCAAGCACGACTAGAGCTGTTCCAATTTACAGCAGTGATTTGCGTATAGTATGTGGCACAAAACTATTCCCGTATTCTCTCGCAGGCTGCATGTCAATAATAGAACATGCGTATTACGACTAACGCGTGGATGCATGCACCGCGCAAGTTTAGTACAATTGTAACGGCCTACTATCGCGATGCAGAGAGACATGAACAGTGCGGAAATCGTGACTTTCAACTCAGTCGAACTGCGACATGCCTTGACCGTCCCTAGGCGAATCTACATGTGCTTTTGGCCGGCGTCACCGTAACGTTTTAAAGTCTTGTTCTGGCTGGCACTTTTGCACCGCGTGTGTGTTGTGAGTGCCCGGCAGTATTGGCAATTGATAGACATGCGGTGCATGAGCGCAAGTTGGAGCCAGATTCTAGCGCTGGTTAACGCCGGCGTAGAGCACAAATTCTGCCTTGCCACAGCCAAGGCACGCCGCAGTTAATGCCTTCCGCTGTTCGCGTTTCTTTCGGTCGAACTATACCTACCTGATGAAGTTTCTTCCGCAGTCTGCAGTGTACGTGCTGCAGACATCTCCTCAACGTTTCACACGAAATCAGCACAAAATTCCAGCAAAGGAACAGCGCAAAACATGCTTA